GTATATAATAAAATTATAAAAGGGATGACCCTCGGGATGACCTATCCCTTCTTATCAATGAATAATAAAAACTAAACAATGAGCAAATATCATATATTTCGTTAAACATGAAAACATCACGTTTTATTACGGCTCGCTAAGGCAGCTTAATTATCAGGGGGTGCGCGAAGAAGCGCGGCCCACCTAGGGACGCGACATCCATGAAAGACGGTCCACAATCAGAGCAATGTATCGAGCAATTGTTACTGTTCAATAAACAATCAAAATCACCTCGAAGATCAAATCACCGCTGACATTCACATTTAGAAATTTAATCCTCGAGAATTGTTTTGCGGAAACTGCGGTAGCTTGTTATAAAAGTTAATTTCATAATAATTCCATCCATTACTAGGTACTCCTTAATCTGATTTTATCTCGAATTTTATTAATCCTTATTATTATTACTAGGTACATACGTAGTATAGTATACTGTATAATGGGTAGTAGAATAGTTCACACGCTGTACACTGCTTTGCATATTACCATTGAATAATAAATCTGAATTATTATTCAATGATATTACGTATTTTCTTGTTATGTAATTTTATGGCCCGTTTGTACTTACTCTTCCGCTCTTCCACATATTGGATTATAGGTAAACCAAGAAAATTGGGAAACCTATATTTCTAAATTTCTCGACGAAAAAAATGTATAAAAATTAACATTTTTCTTCACACGTCAGTAAATTAGGTCCCCATAATGGGGCATTAATGAAATATACCCTCGCATATACCTAATTAGTCCGAGTGGGTCTTGTCGATAATTCAACGTTATTAACAGGACCCGAGACAGGACCGGTAGATTTTCCACAATTGGTTTCACAATCATTTATTAATTTATTTATTATTTATTTATGATATACAGGGTGACAATTTGAAAACTTACCACCCCCCATATCTTAGTAAATAAACGAGATATTTAAAAAAATCAAAATCGGTTTCGGTAATTCGGAGGGGGAATCACAATGACATAGTTGGCGACGCACCCCCTCCAACCCCCTGCGCCCCAGCCACCCCAACTTTTAAATCTTAAATAGTGACCCCCCATGTGTGATACGTCGTTGGAAAGCTCTGAAAAAATGCTTTCCAACCATACCAAATAGCATTACATTTAGGTTAGTAATTATCGTGCAAATCAAAAAATAAACTAATATGATACATTTGAAATCTGTCGTATTTAAAACGCAACCGGCGAACATAGACGAACTAAGACAGAGAATAATTCAAGAATGTCGAAATATTGCAAAACCAACATTTGAAAAGGTTCGCCAAGAGTTTGAGAATAGATTATAACTGGCGATCAAAAATGAGTTGCTGTCAAGTCGGCTTTGGAAGTTGAAGTTAAATACGATTTTCCATGTTTATTTTTTGATTTGCACGATAATTACTAACCTAAATGTAATGCTATTCTTAGTTCCCTTAGTTCCATTAGCGCAAATACATGCAATCATATAACACGATGCTACGTTGAAATGGGTAATTAATCCAATAAGGAAAAACGCGAGGAAAAACGTATATTTATTGAAATAGAATACAAAAACCATTATAATATTTTTTTAGACTATATAAGTACAACTTTTATTTAACTAGATTATAACAATTAAATGTAAAAGATAAAAAACTTCAAGATTAATTTTATCCATTCACATTTATTACCCCTACTGCATGGTGTAGCGGCATAATATCTTGTTACATTCACATCAAAAGTAATTTGAAATATGTAGGTAATACTATTTTATTAGAGGGCAATTCGAAATTTTTACTTTCGTAGAACGACAGCAAATTAATATAATAGAGCACGAGCGTTGAATCGTAGAGATCGAAGTTATTATTCAATTTAAGTTTAACTTTCAAAAACAGTAAAGTTTTCGCGAAATAGCTTTGACACAGGATTTTATCGATTTTATGTTGCTATGTTCTCTATTTTGTATATATGATTCGAGTTTACTAATTATTTGCATGATTTGTTGACTTGAAAATTAAAATTAGCGAATTTATGTTCATATCCAAACCAAATTGTGGTATTTGGCTTCAGGCATCATCCGAATCCGAACATAAAATATGAGCTAAGGCTCATATTCGTGTTCTGAAATTTCCAACTCAGGGCTGCAACTGCCGCCCTTCAAATTCCACGAGGATATGTACCACCATACTGGTGTTACCACGTGAAAACAATAACAGAGCTCTATTCCAATAAAAAAAAACAATAGATCTTAATTTCTCACGACATTTTTATGAAACATTTTTCCCTTTCCACTGCAATTGCATTCTTCCAGTGCTGAAAATGTAAGGGACAAAAATTCTGTTTTCAGGAAATAGTAACAGTGCATAAAGTGAAAGGTATAGAGACGCAAAGTATAAAAAACGGAAAAATTCTACGTGTTTGGGAAGAGAGAGCTGTTATTGTAATTACTCGTACGTTAACTTCGAGGCGAGCTTCGAGATTAACTTAGATATAAATAAATAATTAAATTTGGGATAATAATTGGCTTAGTTTTTTTTTGTAAATCTTCAAACTTTGAGGTGACTAACACTAAACTTTTACTGTGATTAGATAGTGACTCATATACCTAGCTACTGACGTGCCTATGCTATAAATTCTCGTTTACGTACTAATTTTTGCATTGTTGTCTTTAGAATAACGTTTCTGTGGATGACTATTTGCGATAAGTGATAAGCCATACATTTCCTGCGTAGTTTGTAAACATCCGCTAATTTTATTCTAAAATGCATCACGGCGCACGGGTGTCGGGGGATTTCCTTGCACTTTCTGGAAATTCACGATGTCGCCTGTAAATATGCTTTCTGAGGAAAACCGTGAAGTGCATTTCATTTGTAAATCGTGGCAAGCAGTTCAGTTCAGCGGTACGTGTGAAGGGGTCGGAATTGCAATTCTCGCCCCTTATTACGCACTCGGCCCTCTACATCGAGATTAAAGTGAGACAGGGTAGTGATTCTGACAAACGTACATTCAAATCAACATACAAAGTATGAGCTTAGGGAAGCCAGATTTTGCATTAGTTGTAGCCTGAAATTGTGTGTAAGCTTTACGTGTGCAATGCAAGGTACCTACTGTATTTGGTTACTTTAAGTCGCTACTGTTGTTAGGAGGGGTGTGTGGAGGCAAGTAAAAAGCATTTATAACATACCAAGCACTTAAATCCTTTCCGTCTCAGAAATACATGCTGTCATGGCAGTTCAGTGACCATCTACTTATGAAGCATCCTAGTACCAGTGTACATTATATACAATGTTTGTAACAAGTGGCGGTTTCTAAAGTGCGAACTTTCTTTTTAAAAAGCTGTTTCACTATACATTTATAGATATTTGCACAATGGGTTGGGACTGGCTTTATTGATTTTTTAAACTCACGCCACTGAAATCGGTGCCGGATCGTCTACAGCAGAAATTCGTCTATATATTTTTTACTCGAAATCCGAGGTTCGGCTTTGTGAAAGTTTGCGGCTCCGCAAAAAAGTCATAAAATACTATTATGAACGTTTACCAAATATACGGATATTGTTGTAAATGTTTCGTTTAGTCCCATGTTTTGAGTTTTTTAAGGCTGAATAGATGCGCAGTTATTTGAGAAATGTGCGAATTCCATTGATGTCAAAATTTTGTGATGTTTTATGCATATGTACTCACACAAGTTGCATCAAGAGTTGGAATTTATGATTAATCGTTCCGCTGCAATACACATTTCTTCCATATAAAACGAAGATGTTTCCCGATCTTTATGGGATACAGGGATACATTAATAATGTTGAATTGATGTAAATTCCTACCTTTTAATATCATTTTAAAAAGTAAATGCGTGGGCCGAAAATATTGAGTTATAGCAGAGGGTGGGAGCAGATACAAATAAATTTGATTGTAAATAACTCCATTATATTCCCACTGGCCACTAAAATTGGGTCACTAGATACACTACTGCTTTTAGGGGTTTTGTGTGAAGAATGTACAAACCGAGGTACAAACGTATTACAAAATGTCGCTTTTACTCCTATTTTTTTCTATAAACGCAACACAATTAGAAAACGATTAGCTTTGTTACAAATCTATCTCATTCCTACTGATACCGTGCTTTCGATAAAAATAATGTAGGTACCTATCACTTCATAACAAACTATGTTTGGAAAAGCAGTTGGCTTTTCTATGGTCTTTGTTTCAAAACTTTGAAATGGGCTACTTATGGGTGGCGGTGGTTTAACAGTATTGATTCATGAGGTAGGGATAACTACACAAATTCCCCAAGTTTAGAGATGAACCGGTTGGTTGATAATAATGTTTGCTATCCTTATCTGATTAGCATACTACTTCCAGGGTCATGCAGATATACACGCATAGAGCATTGTCGGTTGTAGACACATCATGTTTGTTATAATTACATAAGTTTGTGATTACGGACACCATTAGGTGTGAGGTCAACACCGCTCCTAAGTTGTTGATGATTAGTATTCAGGTGAGATTAATTTCCATAGGAATATTTTGCAAGAACTTAGATTGCTGTTGCATGTAGCATTACATCATACGACTGTATACCTACCACTGCTGAAGGGATGCATTACAGTACAGAATCATGTTTTAATTTCAATGTTTTTTATGTTGAGGTTCATTTCTATTGAATGAGGTCAGCAATTATCGCTAAGCCTAAGTGCTTATAAATGGACAAAGAAAACGTTTGTAATTAACGTAATTGGGTTTGATTATAAGCATAACACTATATAGTTAGTTATCGGCTGTGTCCAAGGAAAGTAAAGAAGTGTATAATGATGCAGATACACAACGAAAAGTACGCATTTTCCATTATAAAATAATCTATCCGTTGTGGGTCAGAGAAATACAGATGTGGTTTTTTGATACGATTAATTGCGTCACCACAACAGGGATCTCGTTCGAAATAAATCAAGCACGTGGTTAAAGCAGAAATGACAGTCAATCAATTTACTTTCTTTTCAGATCAGCGACGCATGCAATTTGTATTAATACAAAATGGACTTCGACCTGTCCAGGAATAAGAGGGAAAATCCAAGGGAAAACGCCAGTCTACTTTCTGTAATAACATTTTTGTAAGTAGTTACAGTGGTATATGCTTAAGAATGTAATTTCTGTCTTAGTTATACGTTCCCAACGTTCTTCGAAGGAAGAAAGCGCGACTTAGAGGTCTCGGATTTGTTCGAAACTTACTCGAATCATAAATCGAAATTGCTCGGTGACAAAATTGAGTTAGCATGGAAAGAGGAGGAAGCAAGGGCCGCCAGACTGAAATCGAAACCTTCACTCAAACGGGTGCTGATAAAGTTATACTGGTTTCAGTTCATGTTGCAAGGTTTAGTTTGCTGCGTAGTGGAATTTGCGGCTAGGTAGGAAGCTAAATGGAATTCGTGAACCAATTTTTGTTTTTAGACTTGTGCAGCCTTTATTTTTGGGAAAGCTTATATCGTATTATTCTCATGATGGCCCACCTATGAGTAAGGCTGAAGCATACGGATATGCTGGAGGTGTAATTGCATGCTCATTGCTTGCGGTCCTCATAATCCACCCTTACGTATTGAGCGTACTGCATGTCGGGATGAAGATACGAGTGGCGTGTTGTTCACTGATTTACCGAAAGGCGCTGAGATTAAGCAAAACCGCGCTGGGTCGAACCACCATTGGCCAAATGGTAAATTTACTCTCGAACGATGTTAACCGTTTCGACGTTGCCATGATATTCGCTCATTACTTCTGGATTGGTCCTATACAATCCATTATTGTAACATATTTTATGTACGAAGAAGTTGGAATTTCGGCAATTCTAGGTGTAATCTGCTTATTCCTTTTTATACCACTGCAGCGTAAGTGCTCTCCGATTTGAACCATATTTTAAATACAGAACAGTTAATAGATTATTGCAGTTGGTTTAGCAAAAATGATTGCAAAGTTTCGATTCAAGACTGCGACCAGAACAGACGAAAGGGTGCGTTTGATGAATGAAGTTATTGCTGGTATACAAGTTATCAAAATGTACACTTGGGAAAAACCTTTTGCGAAATTCGTTGCTCTGGCACGAAGGTAGGTAAATATACTTCTGCGTTGATACTCAATTTTCTTCTGATTAATCAATTTTTGTTGTAGGCATGAAATTGATTCAATTCGTGGAGCGTCATACATCAGAGCCATTATTTTATCCTTCATGCTATTTGCGACTCGTGTATCGCTATTTGTAACAATTTTATCCTACGTACTGTTCGGCGAGAAAGTAACGGCGAAAAAGGTATTTGTCGTGACCGCATTTTACAATCTTCTAAGACAGGCGATGACCAATTTTTTCCCACAAGCAGTCGTGCAAATATCGGAGGCAAATGTGTCAATTAATCGCCTAAATAACTTCATGTTGTACGAAGAAAAGGCAGCGAATGAGGACGAAGTGCATAATGAGATTCCAAAAGCTAACGGAAATAATTATAAGGAGCACACTTTTATACAAGACGATTCAAATCACGCAGTCGTTATTGAAAAGGGTTTCGCGAAATGGAGCGATGAGTCGGTGCAGGATTACATTTTCGAAAATTTGAACATCAAAATTAAACGTGGATCAGTAGTTGCCATTATTGGGCCGGTTGGTAGTGGTAAAAGCAGCTTACTGCAGGTTATTCTGAAAGAACTTCCGTTACTCAAGGGCAAACTGGAGGTGTATGGTGATATCGGGTACGCATCCCAAGAACCCTGGCTTTTCACAGGGACGGTTCGTCAGAACATTGTATTCAACAGACCCTATGACAATCTACGCTACCAGAACGTCGTTACAAGGTGCTCCCTAAAACGCGACTTCAGTTTGCTTCCAAACGCGGATAGAACGGTCGTAGGTGAACGAGGCGTTTCGCTAAGCGGCGGACAGCGTGCGAGAATTAATTTGGCCAGGGCCGTGTATCAAGACGCAGACATTTATCTTTTGGACGATCCTTTATCGGCCGTCGATACTCATGTTGGAAGAGAACTGTTTGATCACTGCATAATGCGCTATTTAAAAGGCAAAACTGTGATATTGGTCACACATCAATTGCAGTTTCTCAAGGACGTGGATGACATTATTATTCTTGAAAATGGATCGATTAAAGCGCAAGGTACTTTCGACGAATTACAAAAATCAGGTCTAGATTTTGCCAAAATGCTCAAAAACGAATTGGAGGTTCGCGAAGAAAAGGAGCCAAGAAGAATGTCTCGTGATAGCTCTGTGATAAGTATTATTTCTATGGACAATATGGGTGTTGAAGAGGTGGCGAAGAGTAATGAAGAGCAAAGAACTAAAGGTAGTGTTTCCAGCTACGTCTATAGAATGTACTTAGTCGCTGGCAATAGTTGGTTCACCATTTGTTGCATTGCACTAATGTTTTTGTTGGCTCAGTTGATCGCGAGCATTGGAGATGTTTTCATCACGTACTGGTGAGTCTTAAACTCATTTGTTCCTCATAAATCCTTTTCTTCTAGGGTAAACACAGAGGAGAAGCATTTTAATTTAACCAAGTCTTCAACACATGACAACGAAATTACCGAGCCCATTATCGTTTCGCAAAACATCACCTCGGATTTTTGGAATTTGTCTACCGAAACCAGTATTTACATATACACAGCTATAACGAGCATAATAGTTGTGCTGGCCATCACACGTTCGATCTCATTCTTTTACGCCTGCATGAGGTCCTCGGTTAAACTGCACGACAACATGTTCAACAGCATAATAAATGCGTCCATGAGATTTTTTAATACAAACTCATCTGGTAGAATACTAAATCGTTTTTCAAAGGACATGGGTGCGATCGACGAACTGTTACCCACCGCCATGCTGGATTGCGTACAAATTTTTATGGTTTTGTTCGGAATTATTGCCGTCGTTGGGTCTGTCAACCCATGGCTTTTGATCCCCACATTTATAATTGCGATAATATTCTACTTCTTTAGATGTTTCTATCTATCAACGAGTCGAAGTGTCAAACGTTTGGAGGGTGTTAGTAAGTGTTACCTACACAAATTTGTGGCGGGCGATTACAAAAATTTATATCATAGCGCGAAGTCCAGTTTTCGCACACCTGAATGCTTCCCTTCAAGGCCTTACCACCATTCGCGCCTTTGGAGCTGAACAAACTCTCATCAAGGAATTCGACGAACTTCAAGATTTACACAGCGTTACTTGGTTCCTATTCATTTCCACATCGCGCGCTTTCGGATACTGGCTTGACTTAGTCTGTGTAATATACATTGCTTTAGTCACCCTGAGTTTCCTATTTCTCGGGGATGGTAAGTGTGGAATTATGCTAATCGTTATCAATATTTGTGGTACAGGTGTCCTGAGCGGAAACGTCGGTCTGGCAATCACCCAGTCCTTGGGCTTAACAGGCATGTTCCAGTGGGGTATGAGACAATCTGCCGAAATGGAAAATCAAATGACTTCAGTGGAACGTGTGCTCGAGTACAACAAGATAGAGCATGAACGTCCACTAGAAAGTGCGCCAAAGAAAAAACCTCCAGATACATGGCCCTCGCGTGGACAAATCCAATTCGATAAACTTTTCTTAAACTACTTCCCTGAAGATCCTCCGGTTCTAGTTAACTTGAACTTCACAATTAAGCCTTTGGAAAAGGTCGGTATTGTGGGTAGAACCGGAGCGGGAAAATCGTCTCTTATTAACGCGCTGTTTCAATTGACTGATGTGAAGGGATCCATACTCGTCGACGGGGTCGACATTACAGAAATTGGTTTGCATGACTTGCGGTGCAAGATTTCTATAATTCCACAAGAACCCGTACTGTTTTCGGGAACGTTGAGGAAGAACCTGGATCCGTTTGATGAATACTCCGACGTCAAGCTGTGGAATGCGATTGAAGATGTTGAACTTAAGGAAGCGGTGGAAGAGTTAAGTTTAGGTAATTGGGTAACTTCTTGACCATTTAGATGCATTACACTAGACTTTTAGGTTTAAACGGGGCAGTATTAGAGGGCGGTACAAATTTTAGTGTCGGCCAACGTCAACTTATCTGTTTGGCTCGAGCCATTCTACGTAACAACAAAATTTTAATACTAGACGAAGCGACAGCGAATGTCGATCCTCAAACTGATGGACTTATTCAGTCCACCATTAGAAACAAATTTGCTCAATGCACCGTTCTTACCATTGCACATAGGTTAAATACTGTTATGGATTCCGATAAGGTACTGGTAATGGATGCCGGCAGAATGGTGGAGTTTGATCATCCCTTTAACTTATTACAAAATGAGGATGGCGTGTTTTATGGCATGGTTCAGCAAACAGGGAAAGCCATGGCGGAATCTCTCAAAACGATAGCATTAAATGTGAGCAAAAGCACAATTTAATTGAGCCTGTGCAGGTATTTTTTTAGAGTTACAAAGCGAAAGATCGACAGTCGCTGGAGTAAGCCCATTTGACTAAGATGAGTGATATTTCTTCAGATATACCTTTCACAGTGACGTAGTGTATGATGGTTCATGTAGAAGAGACTTATGATATAACATCCTGTGATCTCATTGTACTTATGGTCTCAATGATTTTAGATATAGACATATTTTTGTATGAGCACAAAATGTATTTTTGCAGCAACCAATATTAGTTTTATACGTATTTTATTAATAAATACTTACTATTAGTTCCCATTGTTTTGTATGGTCCACTATCATAAATAGTCTCGCAACAGTTTTCCATTCTCTGATCTTTTTCCTGGTATTGCCCGATACAGCTCATTTTAACAGACTCCTTCGCAATTTCCGTCATTATCTTATCCACAAATAACCATTTCAACATGCACACTGCAACCACTGGTACTTTAAATCAACAACCAACATTCCAAATAATGTAATTGGTAAGGAAAACATTGGGGGACTTTGCTATCATATACATACCCTTCCTCACTCCTTTAATAATAATAATTTATTTCTGTTTCGTGCAAAAAAGAAAAAGAGAGGCCAGAAACACAGTTTTAATAAATTAAATTACCACTATTAAAATCAGATCGTATAAAATGCACCTATAGGTATTCTTTCAACTCAGTTTTTGACTTCGGAATTAACAGTTTTCTTCGTTATTTTCATTTTTAATGTGTCACCAATAATCGTTTGCACTTAGAACTCAAATCAAATCAATTTAGATATACGATACGATACCTGTTATATATTTCTCATTTATGTTGCTAAGGAAAAGAATAACAAGTAGAATAAAAAATTATTATGAATGACATTAAAAATAGTGTTACACGCATTTAATATAATACAAAAATGGTTTGATGGAACATTAAACTAACCCTTCGGTTAAACGTCTTAAAACACTGCAAAAATATGTCAAAATCTTTACGGATTGAAAATTATTTGAAAAGAGTTGTTGGGCGTATATGTTCTATAAGATCGAAATACCTACCACGTTAACCGCCCAAGCAGTTTTGCGCAGGTGGATTAAGTTAGTACCCTTAAATCGGCATCCCAATTTGTTACATAGCCATAATAATATTGTGCCAGGTAGTGTGCTCATTTGGTACACTTCCTACTTACGAGCAAATCAAAAATCACTAATGCCATGATTTTGTGCGACAATACTCAGGTTTTGTGCGCCTCTTCTTTCGGAGTAATTAAAAATTTCTAAAGGGGGTGTCAACGTAACGTAGCACCCTTTAGAATTGCCTATTTTATGCGCCTTCCGTTTCCGAGAAAATCAAAATGTTCAATTGCGGGTCCACACACCATCATGCTCATATCGACATTACACAAACACCATAGCTTTGTCACAGATTAACTATCTGTGCCCATAAGCAAAGATCATACCTATGCCCGGTTTCACAAACGATGATTGTTAATCAATGATTAAAAATATTAGAATGGGAAACATATGAGCTTATAATCAAAGTGAGCTACAATTCTAATGTTTTTAATCATTGATTAACATTAATCATTGTTTGTGAAACCGGGCATTAGAGTAGGTAGTATGATCTTTGCCGCAAGTAACAGTAGTGGCACAAAATTATACAACAACTGCAACTCATACATTTTAACTGTATGCCTACTTCTGCCATTGTACACTCGGTAATGAGGTGTTTATAAATACTGCAGGATGGACTGTTGCATTTCAGGGAATCAGAATCGTAAAATCGTAAACATATTTCGCAGTGATTCTTCGTCTAGGTCTAGTATAAAATTGAAAGTAAACTATTTACTAGTTTTTACGTTGAACAAGCTGTCATTTGGTTTTAATCTCTGCTCAAATATCAAGAATCACAACATTTCAGTTTTTCTGGGATATCTTCGAAAGTAACCGGAATGTTCTGGTTTTCTTCACAGAATGATAATAACTGTTTAATTGCGCAACTTTTCGCATTGTGTCTTCTATGGTTTCAGAGATCCCCATGATAGACATCCTTATCTTAGATATCTTGTAGGTGTGCGGAAAATTCGCGCACGAATAATTCGCTCCAGGACAATTCGCCTCCGGACAATTCGCTACCCGAAAATTTGCGCCTGGAATAATTCGCGCCCATAGCATTCTTGCGCAGAGTATGGTTTTTCTAATAATTTTAAGATTATTGCCAAACGAGTGCCTGGGGTTGCATATTTTATTGAATTTTAACTGTTTTTGACTTCTCTTGATGTTTTAAAAAAATCTATTTAATTTAATCAATATTTCATAAACCATATGATTAAAATATGCATTTTTTCCGGGAGCAGTATGTCCTGGGAGCGAATTGTCCGGGCTCGAATTGTCATACAACCTTTTTTGGACACAGATGTATAATAGTCACTACTCAACAACATCAAATAGGTAACAATAACGTAAAAGTACCTACTTACTTCTATTAATTAGGTACGTACCTTATCATTATACATCAATTAGCAGTTACGATGTAATTTCTACATTTGGGTTTCATATTTCATATTTCTCGTGCAAGTCTAGTAGGTACCTACACATCCCACTTGCCATTTTTCCGACAACAGAATGCAATGTAGTGGCTTAAATTGTCTTTGTGTGCTCCTTGTGTGAAGGAACTGTGTTTAACCTAATTTCAAAAAACGTTGCAACGCCAACTTGGCTAATAGCGGAAGCAGAAAAAAAACACGCAAATAGAATACTTAGCCGTACACTCTACCTGAATTTTCCCTCGCTGTCGCCTCTATTTATCTAATATGAATCAGCAGTGCACCACTTTAACTAGCGCAGTAGAGACCGGACATGTGGGCGCCATCAGCTCTATTTCTAAACCGCTATCTTTGTTCTCCCTCTGTTCAAAGTTTTCAGTAGGTATAGTCCATTATAAATAACAGCAAGGAAGACATAACTTATAAGATGACCCCAACGTCTCCAATCAAACAAAAGAAATTTTTTTAAGGAAAGCCGCCCATGTCTTCACAAAACAATTACCTTAAGGCATTTCGAGAATAAGGGGTGGTGCGTTTGCAACCTCTTACAGCAATTTTGTTACTTCAAAATGGCATATAAATTAGTACAAAACGATGGTGTTTTCGTCATGTATGGATACGAGCATGATTTTTAACTGAACATATCGATTTTCTCGGAAACAGGAAGCGCACACAACTCGGGCATTGGCGCACAGATCAGCACAAAACTATGACATTTGGTCGATCCGATTGTAAAGGGTGCTATGTTAAGTTGGCACCCCCGGCGGTATATGTGGCGGATAACGTGTTAAAAAATGGTTCAAATCAATAATCAAGAACATTACTTTAGTAACAGTTTTAGTCACAATATGAGTGAAGTGGAAGAGGTTTTAAATTTTCTTTAAAGTGACAGCTTGTAACAGGAAACATTTTTAAGTCTTAATTAAATTTTTTTCTTTTTTCAATCATTTACATACTGGGAATGGGGGCGGATCAGAACACTTTGGCTATATATTTACCTATTAGAGGATTTCAATTCCTTTTACCAACTTTGTTCAAAAGACCATGGAGCTTGAGGCATGAAAAGACCAAGTCATGCTTCAGGGTTTTGCAAAGGGTTCTACATACAGTGTTACTGTGTTGTAAGTAATATATATTGAAAAAACTTCTGGGGGTAGTAAAAACGCAGTATATTATAATAGAATAATCGTTTTGTAAAAAGTTTTATTATTGAGAAAACGACAAGGAGAGAAGTAGGTTTAAGATTCAATGCGAAATCAAAATTAACCATTTATTAATTGCAGAATAAACAAAAGTAGACACAAAAAATACTCGCATTTGTAATTTAGGAGTAATTGAAGAAAGTAGCTGAACATTAACAATACATAAGTGAGACCTAATTAGCGTCCAAGACACTTAAAGAAGGGGCACAAGTGAAACAGAATGATTACGTTACATAAAAATATTGCTATAAGTAAATGTGCGTAGTTTTTAGATAAGGTATACGTTTAAGTTTCTTTTTGTTAAACTTACATAGAATTAGAAAAATTAATTGATATATAATCTATATAACAACACATAAACATTTGATAACGTTTGCAACAGGTAGTCTTCTTCTATTAACGATTCTCTTTACGATTGTCTACGTGATTTATTGTGATATTTCTTCAAATAAGGGTAATAGAGGTATAACGGTTCGCTACACTAAAACACTTAGAAAGGTGTTCTTAGAAAGTTGTTTAACTCATCACACTACACAACGAAATGAAATCGTCAAAGGGAAATGATTGGTATCACAATCAGAAGTAAAGTTAACGTATTAGTGAATCCACAGATATAGAAAGGGTACATTGATAAGGTGAAGTCGTCGGTGTGATCACTCCGCTTGCCTCCTCAATCTTTTCCAGATCGGCAACTCCAAGCGAGCTCTGTTTGCAAAGACGCGGTGTCTGAAAAATGCCACTCCAATCATATGGGCCATCGCCGGTTATACTTACGGGACTGTGTAGAAACTCATTGCTTACTTCTTCAGTTTTGTCCAAACTAAATTGCCTGCGCAACAGCTTCCCCGCGCGCTCCTTCGGGCTTAAACACTTGTATTGGTTGTAGGGAGTGCTGAGATCGTCGTCCTCGTGTAATCTCCCCGGACGATGACGACCACGAAAGCCACCCAGAGAGTTGGTGGAGACGGCCAAAAGCGCAGCGGCCACCTCCGTCGCCGAAACCGGCGTACCTAAAGACATTGGAGTTTCGCTCGACGTGCTCTTGACCATGTGAAAATCGGCGCGCTGCGTCGCGGCGTCCGTGTTCTTCATTAGGGACGAAAATTTCGAATGTTCCATCTTTTGCATAAAAGTATTGTCCAAATGCAGCGGTTTTGATACTTCCACCACCGGGTGGTCTTCGTGTAAAATTCTGCTGACTTCTGGGATTGGTTGCAGCATTTCTTCCACTTGGATATTATTGCTAACGTGGTTGAGTTTGCACACAATCAAGCTTTCATCGAGTCTGAAAATTAAGCCAATGCGTTAGTCGCTATAGGGGTAACTGAATTGCACGAAGCAAGCTATACATACCCATGGCTTTCCCTGCGCGCATTAAAAAGCAAACAAAATCACTTGATTATTACTTACTATACAGTATAGGCAATTTGTGTGCGATTTTCATTTTAAAACAAATATAATTTGAGCGAGGAATAAATCTTACCATCGGTCGCATTCCGAGGAAGTGATTAGTCATCAAGTCAGGAGGAATAAATTTAAGCTTTTACTACCTCTACTAATTGAAATACTTTATAGTTCGACACTGGAAACTCGAAATTTCTGAGCCCGTGTTTACAAGTGGGAATTTCAGACTTATTTAGGCCCAAGTGCTTGATTGATATTAACGGATTGGGCTTAGCATGCACATCATGACGTCTTTCGATTCATAAATGCATGCCGCAATGAGGGAAATTGGAAATTGCTTAATCGGAAATAAAGCAACAGTGAAACGTCGATAATTGCTTCAACAACTAATGACATTGCAAAGTAGGTTAATTTTTAATAGTTTTCTCCATACTCAAATTTTGTTTTATTGGTCTTCTGATTGAAGTTTTTGCGGGTAATCCTTAGTGATAGATTCAGTCAATAATTATTTTTCCTTGATATGTTCGCTACTTCAGAAACATTTGAATTTAGACAGTTAAATATTCATATTGTTTAAATGGTAACCGTTAGGCATTGATCTTTGTGGAGGTATTTATATTTGTGACTTGAATTGTCTCATAAATCCAAAAATGTAAAAATACCTATTTAAGGTGTTCCATTTAAGAATCCTGTAACGAGTGGTTTGATTTCGCGCCAAATTTCATTAAAAATTTCGAAATTTCTTGTCATGATAGTGAAGGTCACCCTGTATATTTCATTATTTGTTCCGGTTAGAAATTTTGTATTTGGGCATTTCGGTTCGCTCAAGACTATGGTCCGATAGATTTAATTTCGCTCAGATTTAATTTCGTCGTGGGAAGAGTGCAAAGCTGATTGACGTCATCATGAGTAATGCGAGTTGTTTGTCGTTCGTTTTGGCGCCGTCTAGGCCGAGAATAGGAGCGGATGTAACACCGAGCCGTCAAGAGATAAGGATTTTTCACGTCATCAGCAGAAAACCGTGAGATCAATTGAGTCAGCAGTTCTTTGAGGTTGACGACGAAGTTAGAGTGGGTTAAGTCTTCTTTATCTAAACCAATGGGAGAATTTCTAGCGGGAGCCATTTTTGTTTTATGGTAATTTGGGTGTGGTTTTTTCATTTCAATTCTGAAGAAGGGGAGCGTTTTAGAGAGACTCGCGGTTAGTACGTCGAGGGGTCGACACGTACTTCTAGTGATCGCGTTTTACAAGAGACTCGCGGTTAGTACGTCAAGCGGTCAACACGTACCTTGAGCGATCGTTTTGGTACACTTGGCGGTTTGAGCCACCGGCTTATTTCGGTTGCTCGCAGTTGCGTGCTTTTTGCACCCGTTCCGAAGTGTTATTTTCTTTTCGTGTTGATTTTTTTTGGCGAAGAAGATCCAGGTTCCAATCAGGTGATATTTGGGCGAACCCTTGAACTTCACCCCAGTTTACTTTGGATGCAGTGAATCGCGTTAGGATACGTTGTGATTTCTCGAGGATATATAAATCAAAGTGCTGCCCTAGTCCTCAAGGCGCAGAATTTCGGGATCCGCCCCAGGTGGAATTTCCTACTAGTGCCGTACGGTCATTTGTCGAAGGAGCGCTGCGTTTCGGAGAGCTGGTGAAATAATACTTTGAACCATAGCGGTTTACCGTCGGGTACTGATCATAAAAGTTTGTGTTCTGCCGTACCGCTAACTCAAAAAATCCGTCTTCCGCAGGCGATCAAAGCTAATAAACTAATAAAATAAAATTAAATACTGTGCTGCGTAGAAACTTTGGCAACTAGCCATCTCCCACTCGCCACGCGAAGGATTTTCTGGACTAAGTTTCCGTTCAAACAATAAACTTTGCTTCGTTCCGAGGAAGGATAGGCACCGTGGATTTTTGTTTTCGTGTATTAAATTCAAGCCACCCCCTAGGAAGTCACAGAGACCTAAGTGTCAGGTTTCATCACATCCACCCTGTACCTGAGGGAAGAGCAGTTCACAAGATCGGCTGTACAAATGTTGTAAAGGTTAGTCTAAATTAAATTTGTAATATTCTGTAAAATTCCACTTTTTGGTAATTAAGCTATAGTAAAAATTTTCTGATTTGATTGTTTATTAAAGTCCAATGAACGATTACCAAAGAGTAGGATAAATTTTTGTGTTTATTTAAATAAGTCCCAGCCCACGCTGGATTAAAAAACCGATTACCTGTTGTTGCAATTTTCAAACTGTAGAGGATGGCCACCCCTTGAGTAAATTAGTTTTTTTTATTTAGTTTAGCTGACATTGTTAAGCTAGTGTTTTTACAAGGAGAAGAGAAGAACTGCTAGATCCCTGTAAATTGTTTGTATCGATAATTTCATTTCAATATATTATCTATTTGGTTTCAATGTGCCTGTCTTTAACGAAGAACGAGGGGAAGGAAAGGGAGGACTAGGAGTTAAGGCAGAAGACTGGTAGGCGGCAGTTTAAGGTTTGTTACGCAGTTTAAAAAGAGTTAAAAGCCCACCGATTTGAGTTAGCCGGAGCATTTATTTTTATCGATTGAGCAGCCTAAGAAGAAGACGGTTTGCCTTGCCGGGCGGAACCGATGGTAATCTTTAAATCCAGAGGAACCCCCGTAGCAATCCAAACCGAGGTAATTTTCGGTCAAAAATATGCGAAAACTCTCCTCTGCTTGTCCCACAACATTTACCTATACCTAATGTCATTTTCATACACAGAACGTATGAAAATCTACCACTCTGAAATAGTTATTTATATAACAAGAGCGCGAAGTTCAATTTCGCGCATTGAGACTGAAGGTATTTTGACGAGGCGAAGCCGAGTTAAAATATCAGTCAAATGCGCGAAATAACTTCGCGCTAGCGTTATATACAATATTTTTTCTACAACTGAACCGATTGTTAATTAAATTTGCTGTTTAAGTTCAATTTTGTCACGTGCGCGAAATACTTTTTTTCACTGTTGACGATTTCGCGCACGTTGTCAAGAGCAACCTTACTTATTAATTAACCGTTTAAAAATCTAGTACTTCGCGTTTCGAAATCCGTCAGAAAATGACAGGTTTTTATGACAGTTGTAGAAAAATGCATATAAATGCTATTTGCAATCGGTCGAAATAAAGATTATCGTGAGATAAGTACGTCTCAGTGACATGAATACAATTACTATTTTAACCAAGGACAAATTTGACCAATCTCGCCAGTCACCAGGCTATTTCTTTTCCACTAGAACGAACTAGTAGAGAAAAATTCCATATCAAGTTAGGTACTTAACGCCGTTAGTGAACAAAAGGGGATTGTGGAATTCGTAACCATAAAAAGGCATTTCGCAGTTGAATAAATGAATACTGTAACGTGATTTATAAATTCGGGTTCGATTTATATCAATATTTATTAAACAAACTAAAACACTATAAAAACCGTACAATTTATATCGACTATTTATATCACATTCATACGTACTCGATCTCGTTCGGTAGTAAAACTGACTGCGATGTTCGGTCCGCAACCATTTATACACGCAAGCAATGTAAGTCCAGAACACTCGCGTAATTACCGGATAAGTCTGGAATATTCCTATAGAAATCCCACTATCGCGCGCGTAGAAAATTCCAGAGCGCCAAAGGCGACGTCATGTCTGGAGCGTTTCCGTTACAATACTAACAGGTACAATTTGCTACTTTTCGTCTAAACCAGTTAATAACAAACTCTAACAGGAGTAAAACCTTTGTTTGCTTGCAATCGATAAGCATTTATTATAGAATTGTTTATCGATATTTTGTTTTATCGATCCTAGCTTAAAAGGAGGGAATGCCTTTCGTTTCGATCCTTCCCGAGGTCCTTTTTTCAAGGACCCTTCAAACCTTTATCGCTATAATATTCGTGTGTGATTACTTTTCTTTCTACTTTGACTAAGTCAGGTGATGGTAAATGATTTACAGTGGGAGATCTTGTTATACTATGAAATTCGTTTTGCGCAAAAAATGTTCTGAACAATTCATCTTTATAACTTTTCACTCTAAATCCTGATCATTTACATAATCCTTTCCAAAATCGGTACCGTGCGTTAGGGTTAAATTATTTGTTGTTAATTATAGCAAAAGATTAAAGTGTCGTCAAAATTGCACCCTTACAAAACCATAAAAATTATTTAGGTGAGATTCCACACATTCGTCCTTTGGTAAATGAAATACTCCTACACGTAAAGGCATTAAATAAGGAAATATACGGGATATTTATTTGTCAATTTCAACGAAATTGCATACATCGTAAACGAGAGTGTCACAATTTTGAAGGAAAATGGGAAATATCGACGTTTGGTTTCAACTTTCAGTCCTTCACCTAAGCTTATTCATTATTAACATTCATTCGTCTCCTATAAAGGATATTCGAGTCATAAAGTTGTCGTAAAAGTTAAAATTTCACGTGTATTGGACACAGCTGTCTAGTTATAAAGCGATCATCCTTGAAATATCACGCGAGGAAGAAATTTGAGTGCGGAAGGTTACAATTATCTACTATAACTTACTCAATTGAAGGCGGAGTTGGCAGAACTTTAACAAATCCGGCTTTTCCCAAAAGCCAGTACGTGGGCATTTTTCCTTTTCCTTTTATTTCCGTTGCCCCTCTATATTCGAGCTGGTATCCACCGGCTCGTTCCAAGCGTTCCTTTGTGGCCTCCGATAAATGGATACGCCAAGCTGCCCCTGAAAAGCATTCATTTTATTATCATTGTTATCTACCTTCTCCTTCGTCAGTTATTTTTGCGGTGCTCGACAAGATTTACCTGTAGATTCCATTCGAGATGCCGTATTAACTGTATCTCCAAATAGGCAATATCTTGGCATCGTTAAGCCTACAACTCCCGAGCAGCAAGGACCTGAATGTAGACCAATCCTTAAACGCAAAGGAGTCCCTGGTAAGTGTCTAATACGAAATCGACCACTTTGATGTAGTAAATCTAAAGCCATAGTTGCCACCTGAAAATTTGTAACAAAAAATTAAATAAGCCCTTCATTGAAAAGCAGCTTACGACAGAAGGGTTTCCTTTCGCAAAAAGCACTGTTCAAGTTTTAATCCCTATCCTTTACAACAAAATTTTGTCCTAATTATGGTTCGGGTTTCCATTTCCTAAACTTCGCTTGTCCTTAATTGCGTCTACAGACAATTTATGTTAAAAGATTATACCACTTCAGCGAGTGTTGGGGAGAATTTACCGGCGCGTACGCTTTAAACATAGTTTACGTTACATATTCCCGTAACCCTTAAAATTTTAATTAAAAATGTGTGCTTTATGGAAACTTTAACAATAATCAGGATGAGATTGAAATTTATTAGGTACCAGGTACGCAAGTATATTATAGCAGCAGTAATGAAATTTACGGCTTTAGTTGGTGCTTCCTCAACGCATTAGATAGCAAACGTGACTTGCTTTTCATGTCGGCTTGTCAAATTGATAAAATGTACTCAACTTGTATATCTTTTAACGGTTTTTATACTTTTTGGCGCTCTTGGCGACAAATTTATCAAATGGCTGTGCAATATCTTCGTGCATTTATGAAAATCAGTTCAGTGTATCAATCTCTTACTCAAAATTGAACGTATGTATAATGTATGTAATAAATGCTTTCTCAAAAATCCTTTTTAATGTTTTCCGGTTGTGCGCCTAACTGCGGTTATACGGCATTCGGTCCAAATTTTCAATTGAAAACGAATCTTCAAGCGATCTAAAAATGGCGCGCCTGAATCGTCTTGAAAGCTTAGCGGAGGAGGATTTACCCCCAGAAAATTCGCTCCTGGGAGATTTGCCCGCGAAAAATTTGCTGTCCCTATCTCTTTCCAATGTATCTGAATCGAGTTTCTTTAAGGGAGAGTATATCTTGAAAGCAACTTTTTATGCATGTACGACTAAAAGAGTGAATTTTCCATGACAGGATTTTCGGGAATATACGCGGGCGAATATTCTGGGGCAACCTTGCGGGACGAATTTAGCTAACGCGAATTACCAGAGCGAGTATCCTGTTGGCAATGTACTGCGTAGTCGTGATTAAGTGTAAAACCTACTGACCGACGACCTGCCTGAAAATGAGGTCATAACGTATAATTTAGAGGCATGAGATAGTATTACCAACACCCGTGCGTAATGAAAAATATTAGAATAGATTATGTACGTTTGGAAGTGATCAATGTACAAATGCCAAAATTGTCAATGACGTCGTTTTGGATTTTACCTTATTTTAATTTTGAAATTCAGGGAGGCCTCACTCTAAATCACCTCACTATTACAATTTTATGACGTAATATACTATTTCTGTTACCTATATGCATTGTATAGACTCAATTTCGAATTTCCATTATTACAAATTGTAGCGACCATTATAACCATGGATATTAAAGGATGTGCGATCCTAAACCTTGAATAAATGTGACAGTGCAATCAGTTGTCTTGACCAATTATAGCGAAAAGGCGATTTCGCTATACGATATATTCAATTTGTCTGGAGGACTCTTTTTAATGGTAAACTCTGGCATGGAGATGGCTGTGAATCCATTATGAGTTTGAACTTATGATGGGGCTAACATCTGCGAGTACTCTGAGGGCAATACTCCGACATCACCGACTTTTGGGAACCAATTTTCCGCGGGACTGAATATTCCGGGGGCGGATCTTAGGGGGCGCGCTTTCCGGAGCGATTATTTCTGCAACCTTCTATTGCGCTTCGGAACTGGTTTTGTAAAATTTACTAAAATGATTCAGATACGCCGGAGAGAGAGAGCACATATGACTTCAGCGCATTTTTCAGCAGAATATTGCACATCTACCGCCAAATATTAAGCGCCGTTTTGTTTGAGTAATTTCCGGTTGTTAAAACGATTCATGACCCCGAAATCATTGGAAATCGCACACCGACAATTAGGCAGATGAACCCGTTTAACCCCCACCTTATATTGTGTGATTTCCGGTGTGTATATATTCGAGATTCTTAAGTCTAGAATAGCGTTGGGCAAAAAAATCGATTAATCGATTATAATCAAAAGATAATCGATAATCGGGTTTGATTATTCTATTAAATTAATCGATTAATCGATTATTTGATTAATCGATTATTTGATTAATCGATTATTTGATTAATCGATTATTTGATTAATCGGTTATTTGATTAATCGATTGTTTGATTAATCGATTATTTGATTAATCGATTGTTTGATTAATCAATTATTAAGTAAATTTTAATTGATTATTATTAGCTGGATCCTCAGTTTACGCAAAAAGGAGCACTCACAGCTCACAAGTATTATTTTATTTTATAGCGGATGTTAAAACGTCACTTTAAGCAGCTAAAATGAATTAAGATTGTATCATCAAAACTAAAGCACACCTCATCGGAGAATAAGCTGCCTAATCATTTATTTTTATTTATTTATTTTATTTTTGACCTTCATTTTCAAATGGGCAGGGTTTCAGCCAAGGCTGTTCTACCAACCAACCCACTGTGCATTTGCAAATATCCATGCCCGAACCCGGATTCGAACCAGGGACACTTTTTTGATTATTGATTAATCGATCTGCCTAGTAATGAACGATTTGATGAAAAGAGTAATGGAATTATTTTTTATTTTTATTATTGAATAATTAACGTATTAATGCATACAAACAGATATTTATCACTCCTTGTATGTGACAATCGACTTTTGATTAAACGATTAGGTGATTAATCGATTATTTGATTAATCGTGTAACGAGTGGTTTTATTTCGCGCCAAATTTCATTAAAAAATTCGAAATTTCTTGTCATGATAGTGCAGGTCACCCTGTATATTTCATTATTTGTTCCGGTTAGAAATTTTGTGTTTGGGCATTTCGGTTCGCTCAAGACTATGGTCCGATAGATTTAATTTCGCTCAGATTTAATTTCGTCGTGGGAAGAGTGCAAAGTTGATTGACGTCATCATGAGTAATGCGAGTTTTTTGTCGTTCGTTGATCAACTTTGGCGCCGTCTAGACCGAGAATAGGAGTGGATATAGCACCGAGCCATCAAGAGATAAGGGGTTTTAAATTCGTCAGCAGAAAACCGTGAGATCAGTTTATTCAGCAGTTCTTGGAGGTTGACGACGAAGTTAGAGTGGGTTAAGTCTTCTTTATCTAAACCAATGGGAGAATTTCTAGCGGGAGCCATTTTTGTTTTATGGTAATTTGGGTGTGGTTTTCTCATTTCAATTCTGAAGAAGGGGATCGTTTTTGGAGAGACTCGGGGTTAGTACGTCAAGGGGTCAACACGTACCTTGAGTGATCGTTTTTTAAAAGAGAATCGCGGTTGGTACGTCAAGCGGTCAACACGTACCTTGAGCGATCGTATTGGTACACTTACCGTTTTGAGCCACCGGTTTATTTCGGTTGCTCGGTTAATCGATTATTTGATTAATCGATTTTTTTTATTAATCGATTATTTGATTAATCGATTAATCAGTGTAATCGATTATTTTTCATAATCGATTATCGATTATTCAAACCCGTAATCGCCCAGCCCTAGTCTAGAAGCAATAGAGATGAAATTCCTGTCACCCATGTGCTCGCCACCTTGGTTTTCATCGACTTCCGGTGCTGACATGTTTATATGAACTACCTACTCGATCACGAACATTTGATAGCGATGGTCTCAAATCTCAATAGTATCATATTTCAGTCACATTTAATGGCAATACGAAACTTTTAGAGTTCAATGAGGGGTAGCCTAAATCCGCTGCTAATCATCCACCAGACACTTGACAACCTACGCGGAAAAGTAGATACCTTCTGACAATTTAAAGCGATGCTGGACGCTTGCACATCTCAGATCAGCTGATAACTACCCCTGTGGGTTCGGGGGAAGAATCGGCCCACTCCCGCTCTGGAGATCGTAAAAGGCGATCAATGGGCAGAAGACTAATGGCCGTTTGCACAGACAAATTTAAGCGGGGCTTAGTTTAAGCGTAGCTTAAAATCCATGACAACCATTGTCTCAATAATCGTTGCCATGGATTTTAAGCTACGCTTAAGCTAAGCTCCGCTTAAATTTGTCGATGCAAACGGGCATTAATGGGTGGATTTGATTAGCGGATTTAATTAATTTCATTTAGTTATTTTTTTGAGATTTCAATTAATTTGGTCCAATGAATAACATTGGTGGATTGATTTTCGGTTTTTCATTGTCATTGAGTTCAAGCGAAAAAAAAGTTGTGGACATACATACGCTTAACGTTTTCCCAAGTAATTGTTGAAAATTCTTATTCTTTAAAACATATTCACATGCGAAAGGGATGCACAAATAATATCACTATATTAGCGTAAACTTTTTGCCTATAGTTTATACAATAACTAGAACAGTTAGTAGCGACCAGACGGACGGATGGACAGACGGATGGAGTGGCCACAATAGCGCATTTTTTTTAAAATTGTTGTGGAAATGCGCTAAAAAGTGCAAGCCAAAGTTGCACGAGACAAGACAGGGAGAGAATAAACAATCATACCACTAAACAGGAATGGACAGGCTTTGATCACATTTAACAGGATATTTTGTGTTCTCTTATTTTTGAGGAATTTTACTATAATTACAATGATTAATTTTACCAATACTATTACATTCCTACTATCAATTACACAAAACGAATTTTCAAATAGAGTTTGTGAAATTTACATCATTTTCAATTTAGAATTGCCATGTAAAAGCTAATTGACGATCACTGGTTTGCAGCTAGGGATACAAGTGCCATAATTACAATAGTCAATGGATTATTCGAAGGTATCAGTATATGCCTTTCAACTAAATGAATTTATTAAATAAATTGAATTACGTGCCATTTTCACTCTATTGGGCGCGACACTTCCATTAATGAATAATTTAAAACGATGTAAATCTCATTTATTTTATAAAAGCTAATAAATTGAAAGCGCGATCTTTGTGTTGGTGTGTATGCAAATACGAAATTAAATTATTCGTTT